GCTCCACCTTCCTTCAAAACGGCTCCACCACCCAATAAGAGCTCTGAGAGAGTGGCAAGAGTACGAGGAGGCAGTGAAGCGCAAGGATCTTGCTAGAGCTCTCAGGCTCTTGAAATCAACTGAGAAAGAAAATGTTGACCCAGTTGAGAAGGAGCTCAAAGATGGTTCTTTTTCTATTGAGTCGCCTCGTCCCCAACTCGGAGAGCTGGGGTTTTTTGGGAGGTTAGAGAGGGATTGGGAGGTCTTGGATACTTGTTTGAATGCTAGTGATATGAGACTTGTAGGTAGTGCTTATGGCTTTCTAAAGGACCGAGGGTTCTTGCCCAATTTTGGAAGGTTCAGCTGTATAGGTACTTTTTTTGTTATTAATTCTTGCAAAGGGGATTCGGCGGTATAGGTACCTTTTTTGTTATTAATTCTTGCGAAGGGTGGTCTTTTATATGTTTTGGTTTTGATTTTGTGTGTGTGTGTGTAATGTTAGTAATTTCGCAGTGAACTTGAAAAGGGAGAAAATGCGTCCTTTGTTATATGTAAAGGAGTGGGCTATGCAAAGTAACAACTTTTGTTTCTGCTTGAATGAATGTAATTCTGCTTTAACTTCTTCAACATGCACACTTTTTGCAGTTCTTGAGGGACCAAGAGACGTTACACAAAGTGTCTTGAAGTCCTCTACTGGTTTAGATGGTACCTTTAATACTTATGAATTTGTCTTAAGTTCTTCACGTTGTTGCATCGTCTTGATTTGAACTAGTTTGCATGTAGAAGTCTTTGCTCCTTCACCAGATTGCATAATTTTAAATGATTGGGATTGGAATAATGTATATCGTTCTATTATTTTTTGGTTGTTTTATGTTGGTTGGTATTATAGCTATTTGTTTTTATCTAAGAAAATAAAAGTAAAATTTCATTGAAATAGTTATGGATTACCATTTCCTCTTTCAGTTTCTAAACTTTCTCCAAAAAAGTGGGGTTCTTCTGGAACCACAAGCATTGCATTGGTTGCTCTTCTGGGAGGAGTCTCTTATCTGCTTTCTCAAGGGATTGATATCAGGCCTAACCTTGCTGCCATACTGGGCCTAGCCTTTATAGACTCTATCTTCCTTGGGGGTACATGTTTAGCTTTAATCTCAAGTTACTGGCCTCCATATAGGCGTCGGATTCTAGTTCATGAAGCAGGCCACCTCCTTGTTGGTATGTAATACTTCCATTGTTCACTTTATTGTTATTATGGTTTTTTTTTAATGCAAAATCTGAAATATGAATCCCTGCATTTAGACACTTTTTGCATGGTCATTTCTGCATGTTTAGCGGTGGCCAAAAGGCTGATGAAGTGTCTTCTGGTTCTTTGACAATGATCTTAACATATGACATTGGCTTATAAGCATAACTAATGTTCTTTTGCTAATTTATTTGCAGCATACCTTATGGGTTGCCCAATTCGTGGGGTGATTTTAGATCCAGTTGCTGCAATGCAGATGGGCATCCAAGGGCAGGTAATCCTTTTGATTTTTTTTTGGTTACATTTTGCTCTAAGTATTTTTGTAAAGTAAATCAAACTGCATGCTGTATGTTGTTTTATTCTTAAGCATTATCATCTCTTGTGGACACCTTTAGTTACAGAATTTATAAAGGCCCAACTCAGCATTTTCCTACAGGCTGGAACTCAGTTTTGGGATGAGAAAATGAGTAATGAGCTGG